AAACTTTTATTTATGCACAAAAATAACACCATGGCAATTCTGCTGAAAACAGCGTCAGTCTGGGTTAGTTCCTTTCAAATCTTGCAAGTTAGAGTCCAAAACATGGGCAAAAGTGTTTGGAAAAGTAGATACGATGGAGACGTATCACTGACCTATTACATCATCGGAATATGTCTACCACTACACGATGTGGGTTATGTGGTGCTGATGATTATTGGCAACATTCTTTGCTTCATTGCACTGTTGCTCGATGTGTTTGGGCATTGCACGATCAGGATCTGGTCGAAGCACTGAACAATACCAAGGAGCCTGATGCAAAAAGGTGGTTGTTTACACTTTTGGACATGCTCTCTCCAAAAGAAATCATCCTGGTAACTGTTACCCTATGGGCGCTTTGGCACGCACGGAGGTTAGCCCTTCATGAGCATATTTTTCAGAGTCTGTTATCCACGTATAGTTTCATCATGAAGTATATCCGAGAGATTGTGGAGTGCAAACCGAAGAAAAATCTACGGGAAGTACCTCCAAATATTGTACGCTCGCAGCAAAGATGGATTCCGCCACCGCCAGGTATAGCGAAGATGAGAGTGGATGGGTCTGTTTCACGAGATGCTATGCATGGATCTTTTAGTGCTGTTTGCAGGAATGCAACAGGAGACTACATGGGTGCTTCTGTCATTAAGATCCTTGGAATAACGGAACCGGCGACGCTGGAAGCTTTAGCCTGCCGCGAGGCATTGGCACTTGCATCAGACTTGGGCCTGACACACATCACCATTGCATCTGATTGCCAAGGAGTGGTCAACAATATTAACCTCCGCATGGGGGAGCTTATGCTAGCACCGTAAAGGAGATTACGGAGAAGGCGGAGTTTTTTGCCCACTGTACCTTCATCTTTGAGAGGAGGGCTACAAATATTGAGGCACACAGCCTCGCTAAACATGCTTTCGGTTTGGACGATGGGCGCCATGTGTGGCTGTTAAACCCTCCGGACCTTCTGTGTATCCCTTTAAACATTATTGAGCAATAAATAAAGTGTGTTTAGACTTAAAAAATATGATAGGGGAAAATCCCTCAAAAGATATGATAGGGGAAAATCCCTCAAAAAGTATGACAGAGAAAATGAACGAACGGGACAAATGAAAGATTACAATTCCCTGCTCAAATGGAAAGGCCTAAAATTTTATTCACGTTTAAAAATATAAATTGTCTCCAATTTAAGGCTTCTTTTGATTGCATGAAGTAGAAACATAGGAACAGTAAAACCGTACAGTAGGATTGAGATGGCATGTCCTATGAATTCTTATATGATTTCAAAACATAGGAATTATAAGGGCCTCTTTGATTCACATGTGCACATAAGGATTACACATCCACTGATCATGAAGAGGCTGGCGCGACCTCAAATCTTAAAGATGCGACCGATCAAGATGAATGGGTCGACTAGGGGGGACCGGCCTGATGGACAACCCAAAAGGCAACATAGGCCTAGGCATCGAAACAAGCTCGAGACCAATAGGATTGTCATCAATTTAGTGTGCGAGCCATCCGGTCTACCTGTTAGTCCCAAGAGGGCCAAACAAGGCTATAGTAATGCGCTAGGCTACATCCTATACGAAACTGTGAGCATTAATGAAACTAATCTTAAGTCAAAAAATAATGAGCCACCAGCAAGCACTCCTCATGTGAAGATGCACACTCGATATATGTTCTCGAATGAGTCCCTATAGGAGATCACTTCAGTAAATAACATAGCCATCTCCATGTTTCCACTCTTTTGAATGGTTGGAAATCCAAGGCCAAAAATGAACACCTTGCTAAAGATTGCGACGAGATCCAAAAGATGTGGCCTTCGGTTTCTGAGGTGGAATGGAACCTATTCAAGGAGCATGGCAAAACCCTTGAAGTCAAGGTGATGGAAAATGAAGTAGAATATGCAAGCACGAAAGGCAACACCATCGGAAGTCGTGGTTACCTAGGGAAGAGGTTGAAGTGCATCAAGCAAGATGTTGAGTTTGTTGCGGCGGCACACTAAACCCCTTCAAGCATTTCCAAAACCCGTGCCATAACGATTTCATCAGCGCCTGATACCATTAGGATGAGGAGAATAAGAAAGAGGTACTCTTGGACAAAACAACAACTAAATTCAAGGAACTCTTCATATTAGCCCGCATATATTTCTCCGAGATAAAGAGCAAATCAAGGTATTCTGCCATCTGTAGTTATAGAAGGCTTTAAAATGTTGTCGGGTTCCCAAGCCTTCAGCAGTTATAGGCAATCGGTTTCATTAGTCTTTGCAGGGTGTTTCCAACATCCCCGCTTCAATAGATTGTGGTGTTTGCTCCCCGATGTTGGCCTTCCTTTTTCCATCACTCACCACATCATCCACCTCCATGTTGTCCCCACTTCTCCTATTTCTCACACGAACCTCAAGAGGATGTTGATCCCCTTTTAAACCTTTCCTCTTTTGTCTCTGGAACTTACTGCACTGCTTCCCTTCTCCATTATTCTTTGGAACATTTTCATTCCCCCTTCCCACCCCGGTTCCCCGCATGCAGATCCTCTCCACCCAAAGCCCCTACACTTCTCCCTTTACCAGGCATATTCAAATCCGTTTTGTTCGAGCCCTTAACTTCCTCCGACCCTCCAGTATTTTGTATCTCACTCGGCTTTGTAACCCCAAAGGTCGGTTGTTTCCCACTCCCACTAGTTCCATCCTTCACCTCTCCTGCAAGCGACAGTGATTTAAGTGGGATAAGAACCTCCCGGTATGCTCCAACCTTCCCCTTATGGTCCCCAAGAGTCAGTGGTTTATTTTTCCTCCAAGCATCCTTGTTAGTATGCAAGTTTCTTTTGAATGAGCCAATGTTAAAACTCTTCCCGCTCCCTCCACTTCTTCCACCCAGAAGCTCATCCCTCACACAAATTTCCTTGGCCCGTGTCACTCTCCCTACGGGGTATAGAAGCTTTCATCCATGCTCTGTATTAGGGTTCCTCCCCTTTTTCTCAACTTGATGTTGCACTAATTATTTACATGCCCGAGCCTCCCACATGTGAAGCAAAGATCAAGCAGGAACTCATACTGAAACCTACACCAGAGGAACACATCAGTTTTATCATCACTCCCCCATTCCCCGTCCTCTTCATCCTCCTCTATCATGAAACCTCGCATAAGGGGCTCCTAGATATCTAGACGAACCTTAACTCTAAGGAATTTGCCAATTGCCACCTCGTTTACACCCACATACACTTGCAGAGTCTCCCCTATGAAACCTCCGACGACTTTGCTTGCATCCCGACACATCTTACCGAGGGTAGGTTGAAGATCCTCACGCACACCACACAGACACCCATTTGCAATTCATATTCAGCAAAGTTTTACTCGGGACAAAATCCTTCACCACTAAGAGTGCCTTACCTGATTTACATGGCCCATCCTCAAGTATTTTTCTTTTCCTTGTCGGCTGGTGAAACGTGAACAAGAATATGTTCTCTCCCATGTCTTTGCAGTCCAAACCCCTCATAGAGCATCATACTCTAGCTAGAGCATTGGCTAGTGCCTCTGCGTGAGCCAGCTTATCTAACAGGATCTTTGATATGGCTTGTGGCTCCACAACACACACCTTTCCTCCCCCTCCTGGGCCCCTCCTCCTTCTCCTCCTTCCAGATGATCTTCCTCCCCTTGCTCTCCATCTCCAACAATTTTGGACTCTTCATCAATCCTTTTACCGACCCATGGTCCCCGAGCACCCTCCAATGAAACGCCAGACGAAACTAGGTTTGGTGTGGGTGGTGTACGATCGTGCGCCCTAGCACACACGAAATGATTATGGTGGAGGGAGGGATGGGTAACTAGATCTTGGCACAGCCCTCGATAGGATTTGATCTATGCGGCAGAAACCCTAAGACATGACGATCGCCTATCCTATCGCTAGAGTAACCAAGCGTCACATGAGATACAGACTTGGGATGGAGCATTAGTTACCTGCTTCTATATTAGCAACACCTTCGCCTTGTACGTTCGTGCAGTACACTTCAACGTATTGGACCATTATAAAAACATTTTTTTAGACATACCATTAAAAAACCATGCCATAGAAAGAAAAAAACCTCACCGCTCTGTTCCGCTCGTGACGAGTCGCCACGCGGCGGCCTGCAGCACCCTCCCAGGAAAAAGGACGAATAAAAAACCGGGGATGGGCCTGGCCCATGAAACACGCGCCTAGTTTGTTGACGCTACTGGGACACAGCGCCTAGCCGACGAGAGACAGCCGACAGTCCCCACTCTCGAATCCCGCCGCCGTCGCCGCCAATGGAAGAGCTGCGCCGGCCGCCCGAGTTCAACCACATGTTCACGGACGAGGTGTCGGCCAGCATGACCCAGGACATGCAGCGTCGGATCGTCGACATCTCGTGCCGGGTGGAAGAGGAGCCCACCGAAGAGGAGCGCCGCATCCACGATG